CCCTGCCCTGCCGGGCCCTCGGGGCTGTAAGCCATGGCCTGGGGGCGGGGGGTGAGCGTACCTTGGCCAGGAGCCAGCTGACCACCTGGCCGACGTCCTCTCTCCACTCAGGGGTGTTGGGGTTGTACGTGTCCAGGTTCTGGGAAAACTGCAGAGGCACCACCTGAAACTGATCTGGAAAGCGGACGAGATGGGGGCTCTCAGTCCTGGGAGCCTGGCCCGGCTCCTGGGGGGCAGCCACACACCCCGACTGTCCAGGCCGCCGAGTGTACCCCAGGCCGCGCCCGTCCTCGGCCATCGGCTAACAGCAATGATGACAATGAGGAGGGGCGGGGCCAGCACCGATGCTGTCCGCAGGACCGGCAGCTCTTTTTTTTTATTAAATATATTTTTACTGATTTCAGAGAGGAAGGGAGAGGGAGAGAGAGAGAAACATCAATGATGAGAGAGAATCATGGACCGGCTGCCTCCTGCACGCCCCACACGGGGGATCGAGCCCACAACCTGGGCATGTGCCCCGACTGAAATCCAACCATGACCTCCTGGTTCATAGGTCGACGCTCAATCACTGAACCGCGCCGGCCGGGCAGGACCAGCTGCTCTTAAAGCAAAATGAGCCTGTACTGGCGACCAGGCCACGGCACTGCTGGGGGTCGCCCCTTCCATCCTTCGGAGACATTTTCTACTGTGATGCCTCCCACGAGGGTCTCAGGGCCCCACTGAGCCCAGAGCCACGGGACACGGATTCGGAACAGGCGTCTCCGCAAAGACTCCATGGGGAGGCGCCGGCCCCGGACGGAGATGGGATGGACGAGACGGCGCTGCCGCCCGGAGGACTCACCCAGCACGCGGACGACCTTGGAGGCCTGCAGCACGGAGCTCCCGCAGGCCGCCTGCACCGTCACACGCACGTCCCCCGGGTCCACAAACCGCGTCGCCACAGAGTTATTCAGGGACAGCAAGGGCTGCGGACACAGGCGGAGTCAGGGCCGAGCCCAGGCTGCCCTCAGGGACGGGACGGCCCCGGGCGTGGGGAGGCCCCAGGGACACTGTCCTTGCCCACTGTCCCCAGCCTCCTCTGTGGACGAGTGAGAAGGTGTAACAGGGCCTCCGGCTGGGCCTCCACACCGACCCCCA